AAATTTCAAATCATTCAGTATTTTAATAAAAAATGTATGCCAAAATAATGGAATTTGGCCTTTTTGTAAAAAGCAAAATTAAATAGTTTCTAGGAGCTAAAGTTTAAGTCAGATGAAAGAAAAATTTTAGATTTAGTGTTAAATTGGATGTATAAACAAAATATTAAAATTAAAAAAAAATCTGAGATGTGTTGTAAATCGATCGTTCGATTCTTTCGCGAAATCATAGTTAAGCCTGTTATCATTTGGGGACATCATTTTGGCTTGTTATAATTTTAGCCTGTTATTATTTTAGAAGGTCATTTTAGCCTTTTTATTTGAGATTGTCGTCATTATGGCTTGTTATTATTTTAGATTGTCATTATCATTCTAGCTTGTAATTTTTAAATCTTATAAGATTTATAAATGTTTTTTAATAATATAAAGGACCATTTAAGATTTAAAAATTACAAGCTGAAATAATGACATGTCGACATATTATGTTGACAGGACAAATTATAATTTACAGGGTAATTTCTTATTGAACGAATTTGCAGGTACTTACGCAGCAAGACACCTAATTAATTAGTCAAATCAAGCAGGCAAAGAAGAAGCGCGTAAAAAAGCGAATAGTCGGTGGCGGTATGGCAAGCGGCGGCGTCGGCGGCCGAAAATCCATAAAACATCTATGCCGGCGAATGCGATGCTCCCGTTATTGTTGCTTGGCAACGGGGGTAGGCGTCATCAGCGACGATAACAAAACAGCATCTCCGCTGCGGCGAGAAAACACCAATACACACCGGCGCAACGCTAATTAGCTACGGTAATTAGGATAAGCCGGTCGACGATGCCTGCGCATACAGCGAACTTGTAGTGTGCTACGTAGACGCGGCCATTGTGCAGCCAGCCGCCTGCCCAAAGGCGCTAGAGGGGGAGGGGGGCTCTCATTAGATCTCGACTTATTGTCATCAAGACGGTAATTGACAACTTTGTGCCCGTTTAACCCACCCGCACCCACTTCTTGGATCAGTGCCGTAACAAACTCTAAAACAGCATTTTCGTACGCAAGATAAATTATTGCGATTTTTGACATTATTGTTATTTTAGTTTGTAATATAAAAACAACCTAAATTGACGACATTCTATAATATTAACACGCTATAATGACGACATTCTAAAATAAACAGGCCTAAATGACGATACAATCAAATGGTTACATGATATAATGACGACAAGCTAAAATGACATTATAAAATAAAAACAAGCCACAATGACGACATTCTAAAATAAAAAGTCTAAAATGACGATAAGCTATAATGAAGAAAATCTGATATGATGACTTGCTATTACAAGCTAAAATGACGACAATCTAAAATAATAACAAGCCATTATATCGACATTCTCAAATAAAAAGGCTAAAATGACGATAATCTAAAATGGCGACAAGTCTAAAATGATAACATGCTAAAATTATAACAAGCCAAAATGACGACATTATAAAATAAAAATCTTAAATGAAGAAAAGCTGATATGATGACTTGCTGAAATGATAACAAGCTTATACAAGGAAGATTTATAATGACATTCTAAACTCATAACGTCATTATAAAATGTTAATAAGCTAAAATCGCCATATTTCTAAATTAATATAAGCTTAAATAACGACATTCTAAAATGATACCAAGGTAAAAAAATGGCAATATGTTAAAACGACCACAAGCTAAAATGACCTCAAGTGTAAAATGATAACATGCCAAAATTATAACAAACCAAAATGATAAGCTAAAATTAAGATAAATTATTAACAGAACAAATTGACGACATTTTAAAATATTAACAAGTTAAAATGGCAACATTCTTAAATATTCACAAGCCAAAATGACGTCCCAAAATGAAGACAATCTCATTGTATAATAAATAGGCTAAAATTACGATAATCTAAAATGGCAACATGTTAAAATGACCTTGTAAAATGATAACATGCTAAATTATAACAAGCCAAAATAAAGAAGAGCTAAAATTAAGATAAATTATTAAGTTTACATTTTAAAATATTAACAAGTTAAAATGGCAACATTCTTAAATATTCACAAGTCAAAATGACGTCCCAAAATGAAGTCATTCTAAAATGATAACAAGCTAAAATGGCGACATTCTAAAATTAATTAAGTTGTAATGACGACATTCTAAAATAAACAGGCTAAAATGACAATAAGCTAAAATAATGACTTGCTAAAATGAAAATAAGCTAACTTAAAGAAGATCTACCCAATATGGCATTCTAAATAAGAGGCTAAAATGACGGCATTCTAAAATAATAATAAGCTAAAATTGCGACAGTAAGGGTATAGTGTTCGTTCAACGACAAAATAAGCCATTTCCCCATGTTAAATCCCATAGGAAAATTTAAGGTCCATTTCGGCAATTTTTGGCGCTTTTTCGTAGTTATAGTGGTCGTTCAACGACAAAATAAGCCATATCCCCATGTTAAATCCCATAGAAAAATCTAAGGTCCATTTCGGCAATTTTTGGCGCTTTTTCGTTCAGGTGACTAATTACACAATATACAATTTAACGGGAAATTTTAAATTTAACCTACCCTGCTTCAAGCTTTGATAGCCCACCGTTCGATGACCCCATCGTCCGTTTGTTAAAAAATTGGAGATTAGTGAAAAAACAAATAAGTATAGATTTGAACCGCAAACCTCTTGCTTCGCAGACGGATTTGCTACCAGATAGTCTAATTTGATACTTGTAAATAGAGAAAATGCAAGGTATAGTATATGCGTATTTGTGAGTAGGCATTTATCATTTTTTAATTATTTTAATTATATAAGTTAGTAAATATACATATGCATATTTACTAACTTAAATAATTAAAAAATGTATCGTTAAATAATGTGTGTTATTTAAAGGGAATTTTTATAATACAGTGATAACACTAGTTTATTAAAACAATTAATTAATTTAAAAATATACGACTATTTCCATTATTTTTTATTCCAGTTTTATTAATTCTAATAACTTATTAAAATTTTAGTTATTATATTTAAAATTGTACAAACTATTATTTGAATTTGAATTGAATTTGAATTGTACAAACTATTATTTGAAGGTTAACATATTATATATAAAAGCTTTAACACTAAAAAAAGAATTGTTTTTAATTACACATTGTCGCCAATTGAAAATTAATATTGCTAAATTAAAAGACAGTATTAATATTTTTTCCATAGCCCTTTTTAGGTTTATTAGGTATATTAAATAATTGTGATAATTACTAATTTTTCTTAGTAAACTTATAATTTTACATTCACAAAAATTTTTGTAATATTTAATGTAGGTAACTAATAAAAATGCTGTAATAAAACATCTCATTTGGCTACATAATAGTTTAAATGAATAAAATAGCTTTAATTTAGGAGAGGTATAATTTAAACAAAAAAATTTAGAATGAAAAAAAAAACACGTAGATGCTTTTTACCAGACGAAAATGCGTATACACTGGAACTCCAAACTCCTTCTAAATGGAATAAACGCATAATTATTTATATAATAAATGGGCGTTTCTCTGTAAACTGGGCAACTTGAAGTAAGAAATTGTCTAGGCAAATTTTTTTGTTATATTTTTGTTGTATTTAATAAATGTTATTCGAGGAATAAATATCGGTCTATTTATTAGTATATGGCAGATCTACCAAAAATATTAATATTACTTTGGAAAACATTGAGCATTTTCTGAAAAATCTATACAGGGGACTGTTTATAAAATCCAGAGACAAAGTTTAGATGACTTTTTTAGAATTACAAAATAATAATTATAAAAAATAAATAAGTCACAGTAAGAAGCAAACAATATTGGTTGAATAATTAAACAATTAGGTTGATTCCAATAGTTACTGTCTTTAATTAATTTAGTCTGAAGTGACCATTTTGATTTGGTGACACGTCAGGGGACTGGTTTTTAAGGACTATAAAAACGATTTTGATACATTAAAGTTTATTTTATTGGATTTTGAACGTCGAGCATAGGTAGATTAGGTTATTATCTTTTGAAGTTATCTACGAAATATTTATGATCTGTTATTTTTCTAAACAATATTAGCTTGAGACAATGATTTGCCCAGTTTACAGAGAAACGCCCAAATAGATAAACGCAACACTAAGCTTTTATATTACAATTGATGCAAATAAAATAAAAAAATAAAAAAATGTGTTGTATTTTTTACTTATAAAAAATTAGTAATATATTACTAATTTTTCTTAGTTAACTTACTTAGTTAATCTTACACTCACAAAAATTTTGTAACATTTAATGACACTGATAAAAATGCTGTAATAAAACATCTCAAGGCATTTGGCTACATAATAGTTTAGATGGCTAAAATAGCTTTAATTATATTTTAGAATATAATTTAAAGAATAAATTTAGAATTTGTAGAATTTATAAAAAAACACGTAGATGCTCTTTACCGGACGAAATTGCATATACACTGGAACTCCAAACTCCTCCTAAATGGAATAAACGCATAATTATTTATATAATAAATAGATAAACGCAAGGCTTTTATTTTACAAGGGATGGAAATAAAATCAAAAATGTATTGTATTTTTTTTCATAACTTTTTATGGTATAATATATGGTATTAAATGTTAGAATATATTATAATACAAACATTAACGTATACAATAAGTTTTAATAATATACGAGGCACAATACAATATCAATAATCGATATATTCTAATATCAAACAAAGCAAACTCTAATATTTTTTATTAGCAAATTCCATTTATTAAAATTTTCGTAAAAATTGCTGTACAGTTAAAATGATTGAGTAAAAATATACCTTTAATTTATCATCTTATATTATTACCCATATTACCAAGTATTTTTCATTTCCAAGGCAATATTAAAATATCGTATTTTGAAATTTCTGAAAATGTTACCCAAATGTAGTTTGCTGGGTTTGATCTTAGACCCCTGATATAACTTGTCTAATAAAACTGATATATTCTTATTATTACATTGCATTATATTATATACATAATGTACTAGAATAAGATCCAAATGGGGTAAATTTTAACATGATCCTTAAATATTGATTATTTAAACTGACAAACAGGCTCAATGGCTATATCTACATCCATATTTTTTTTTCGAGGAAGTTGATGGTATTGCATAATGTCCCCAGGGCAGAGTATTATATGTTCCAGGGATAAGGTACCGTTTATCATCCTCATATGAAAGACCAATCTTCTGTTGTATTATAGAATGCACCTGATGCTTCTCAGACCGAATTAAATTTTGGGAAACTATTTTTTGTTTCAAACTATCAAGGCATTCAACATAATCCTCAAATGAAATCTCTGTTTTTACGATGAAAGATTTTACACCCTTTGCCTTTTTAGTGATACCCATGTTTTTAATTTCAGCATCTATTTCCTCATCATCATACTCAGCATCCTGCATCTTTTTTCGATTTTTTGTTACATTCTCCTCCGTTTGCAACACCTTAGTTAAGTATAGTTTAGATCTGAGCCCTACGTAGTCTGTCATCGGAACACCGTTGTTCTCATCTTTCAGCATACCCAACACCTTCTTATTAACAAGGGGGATATCATATTGATTATTAACAGGATAATCAAATGTATCAAAATATTGATGACAGTCTCGCTTCATAACTTTATAAGGATCTTGAAGCAGCTCATAGATGAGGCTGTCTGTATCGGTATACATAACAGTACAATCGGGGAAAGCGTTAACCATATAGCCATAGTGAAAGTTGTATATGGTAGTTTTCGCCAAGTCGAGTATAGCTTGCCCCACATATATTGGTTTGTTCAACCAGATCTGAAGTTTACGAAGCTCAATCGCTACTAAGTTTTCACAGAAAATTGTGCAGTTTTTAAATTCCGGTTTCGCTATATAAGCCTCAGCACCATATCGACCATTCCACTTGGTTAAGAGCTTAATTTTAACCCTTTTCCGTATATTCTCCATAGTTTTACCTGCAATAATAAAAGGTTATTATATAAAGAAGTAAATCGAAAATATTACCCAATTGTACGTACCAAAGACTGCATTGTTCATCAACTTGAACAAATTCTTTTCAAACTCATTCGCAGCTTTCTTACGCAGCTCAGTGTTAAGGTCTATGTAGGACTTTAGCCATGGCGCCTGTTTAAATTTAAGGACCCGATGTATTTTGCGTAATACCAAACCATTAGCTAACGCCTCCTTTAGTGAGCGATAATGAATTACGTATTTTTTCTTATCACCCAATGTAGCCATCAGTTTGGTTATCTCTTGCGAGTCCTTTGGAGGCTCACCGGTCTTATGGTTGATATGCTCAGGGCAGAATGGTATATCACTATGTTTGTCGTGTTTGTCCTTGGGATATTCGAGATCTACCTCTAGGATATACCCTTCGACAGCATCATCGGGAATTTGGGTTACATCGAGATTTGGATCTGTCCATTCGAAGCCTCCGTATGGTAGGCATTGAGACATTGCCCACCCGTACTAAAAAATGGAGACAATAAGAAATTAAGCTAAAAAATGTCAAGTTAAAAAAAGAGTAAAAACGTACCTGATTATTTACGTCAAAATACATTAGGAAAGTTTGAGGCTTGCTGGGGTCGTAGTTGTTAACATATTTATTATTTGCTCTAGCTCTTCTTTTAGAACATACTTGACTAAGACCACCACGAATCCCCTTTTCAACAAAGAGGAACATGTCTAGATCGGTAAGCAGTTCTAACTCTTGCTTAGTATACTTAAGCATAGCATCCCACGTAAATCCTGGTAATGTAAAGTAGTGAGCTGGATCTAAGTCATACGTTTTAATGCAGCTGGTGCGAAACTGTTCAAAGACGTCAGCAAGTAGCATTATATCAGTCTTCATATACAAGTCCACATAGTCACCCAAACTTTGACAACTAAACGCTGACCATACATGTTGAGCTCTTAGATAGTGTCTGCGTGGGCAGGGCTTATTCTCCAACTTATTATAAAATTTTTCAACGGATGGTAGACTAGTTTCATCAAAACGTTCAAATGAATTAATGTAATCGTATGGCATCACACCCTTTTTCGTTAATAGCTTAAACTGATCATCGGGTAATTCAGAAAACTGTGATTTCAAGTTTTGGAACTCTGACATATATGAGACCAACTTATCAAGAGAAGAAGCCATAAATCTGAAGGAGTCTATAAATCTAAATTGAATTGGGTATTCGTCGATGTGTTTAGTAAAACTAATATATTTTTCTTGGGTAATGGGTAATAGATCGATCGTCCCCTTCATTCTCGTAGCTATGTCTGTAATTATAAAGTGAGCATCATACCCGCTGAGATTATGAAAAACAACAGGCACCACATGACTATCTTTATAATTGATATTGCAACCTTTATGTGCGGCTCCGCGATAATTGTTTTCAGGAATTAGATGGTTATGATCTCGTACTTTATTATCTTCAAAAGTAAATGGCTGCTCGCAGATATGACAACATTTTGCCAGACGAAAGCTACGTTCTTGTGTAAATGTCATATTGATATCATAGGGGCACCAAAATACAGTTGACAAATTTTCAGCTAAACTATTCATCTCATCGGCAAACCACTGCATACAGTTCTGACCACGGTTTGATCGAAAAAAAGAGAGACTATCATCGTATGAACATTTCATATAGTATCCAACGGCAGCTGGAACGTGATGTTGTGGCTTCTTCGGGTTGTCTGTCCGTTCCAGAACACTTTCCAAATCAGCGTATACGATGAATGGAGCCTTCTCCTTATTCTTATGATTTTTAAATTTTAAAATATTCTTCCCTTGTTCAGGCATTTTAATAGCTGTTTCATTAATCCTTATACAGTCCTCAATATGCCTGTTAAGTTTTTCTTAAGAATAAAAATAATGTAAGCATCGATCACAGAAGAATTTACAGCCATTGTGTGTGCTTAACTGTTTTGAGAGAAGACGAGACATATTCTTTATCCAAACAAAGTGATAATTTGTTGGGGCACCACCCTCATCTCCCTCCTCATAATATTTATCCTGAATAAGTAAAAGATTTACATGTCTTTCCTGCTTATTTTTAGTCAGGTAAGAGGGTAGTGTCATAAATTTAGACTTTTCCTTTTGAAATATATAAACATTGATTGAAACATCATTCTGCTTCTCAAAGCTGGGAATCTGCTTCATAGTCATAGGCCATTGGATTCCTCTCAATTTAAGAACAGATGAATAGTGTGGATAAGATGATAAACGGCCTGAGTTCTTTTCTAAAGAAACTGGATGGAGAGCCGATGTAACTGCCCAAGCGAAGCATGCTTGATCGTTGTTTTTAACATTGATACAGGCATGTTTCTTCTTAATTTGGAGAGGCAAATCGATGTACGATGATCCAAGCTGTGGGGTATACTTGTTAATATTTACCCCCAAGTTAACTACCTTCTTAAGAGCCCAACCACTATCACGTTCTTGGAACTCCTCGAGTTCCTTTAAGATAGGATTAGTAATGTTTTTCTTAAACCATTCATCAAGGTTAGTATTCCTATAGATCGCTGAGTTTGATGTGGTAAAGTGCTTGTACTCATTAAGTACACTATCTCCTTTCACTATTTCGAATTCTCCACAGAATGCTACATTCGCCTTAACGGCTGCGTCTTTCTTTAAAGCATTTCGAATTCTTATTTTGAATAAAGCCTTACAATCTTTCAAAAAAGCCAAGGGGTCCTTATGTTTCAAGTTGGAAATCAACCCTGTTCGAATGCGACTCCCAAAAGCTGACTCTATATCATCCCAATGTACACGTTCTCTAACGCCTTCAGGTCTTAATGTAAGCCCTGCTCCCCTCTGTTTAGAAGCCTTCAGCTGATTTCTAAGACTCTTAATATTTCGCATGCATGCTTCAATGTGCTGTTTTTTTCCAATAGTCTTAGCACGCTTTAAAGCATCCTTAAGTCGTTTTTGCCCTTTTTGACACTCCCGAATACCTTCTAATGCAATTTTTTCATCATATTGAGGTGATAGAAGCCTTAATATGGATGCGATATGCTTTACTATATCGGTGAAAAGCGACATGCTGAAATATAATAGTAAGAATTAAAAATAATATTATAAGAGAACACAACCTCAAACTTAGATTTAAAAAAACAGGAAAAGAGTTCAAAAAAGATATTTAGAAACACAACCTTTAAATGATTAAAATTAGATACAACTCTTACCAATTTTTTTTTTAAATTCAAAACCTTAAACTAACATGCAATAAATCTGGAAAAGCAACAGATAACTGCAAAAAATGATTACGCGTGCTTCTCTCTAACGTTCTGAAATATGAAAATTGAAATTAATAATGATACTTAAATTATACGATACAATTAGGTACTATGTGAAATATGTAAAAAATGAATGAATAGGACAGATATTGATTGATTTTTATTTCGCTTCAGTTTGCATAGGCTTATCAAATGATCTCTGATTTGGATATCTGAGGAGCTGCTCTGAAAAACGCAGTTTTTTATTATTATTTTCAAAATAAAAAAAATCTTTGCTACACACTTAATTAAGAAATTACAGTTTTTGTAAAAAAATTAAAAGTTAAATAATTTTAAACCCTTCAAAAAAAATATCACAAGTTTATCCAAGCGAGTTTTATAAAAAGTTCAGCTTGAAGTACCTAGCTCTACTCTACTCATTACTCAGCATCATCCATCAGATAATCTTGGTATAACACATATAAAAGGATTGGAGTCAAATACTGACGAAGATGAAGAAAGAATGAAACTTTATCGAATAATTAACAAGAATAAATCAGGATTCCAAAAAACGCGAAACTTGACTAAAATAGTGACATAAAACGTATTTGATCGTAACAGATCATGACAGGTCGTAACATGTCGTGACAGATCGTAACAGGTCGTGACAGATCGTAACAGGTCGTGACAGATCGTAACAGGTCGTGACAGATCGTGACAGGTCATGAAAGATCGTAACAGGTCGTGATAGGTCGTCATATATTGCGGAACACTGAACAACTCTGATGCTAACATTTCTATAAATGAAGAAATATGTCAGTTACTATCAAAAACTCTTGTATAAAAAACGACACATCATTATCATATAATTCATCATCATAGACATTAAACCAAATGCTTACAGTCGAAAGTAAGTTTCCTGAGAATGAATATTTTGAAAATTACCATGAAAAATGTAGGGAGTGTGATAATGCTTATGGACCCGAATATTCTAGTGGAAGATGGTCTCTTGGTAATAAAAACATATCGTTTAATAGTAAAAATATAACAGTGACAACAAATGTAAAGGTAGTGCGGGTCTTTATGAATTAATTTTAATTAAGAACCAGAAACATTTTTTACCATTGGAGCATAAGATTTATAGGCAAATATTGATTCTGACTGGAGTTCACAGAGATTGCAAAGAACGCCAACAAGCCAAGAAGAATAAATTTAAAAACGTTATAAAACCTCTGTTTAAAAGAGTAAGAAAAAATAAATTAAAAACAAAGAAATGGCCCAGGACAATTTACATTATAGCGATGATCGAACTAATAAACATTTGGCTATAGACAATCAGCGATTTTACATTACAATCATATTTATTAAAATGCATCCGAATCCAACAACATTATATATTTTTTCTCGAAAACAGGAATGCTGTTTTTTAAAAAACAGTGTGCTGTTTTTTCAAAAACAGTTTACTGTTTTTTAAAATACAGTGTTCTGTTTGTATGCTGTTTTTAGATATTTTTAGTCCGTTTTAGCTTTTTTATGCTGTTTTTCTTAAACAAATGTTTGTGTTTATAAAATTATGTATTGATCTGATCAATACATCAATTTGATCAAATCCTTTTCTAAAGCGACCATTATCGATATGAAATTTTTTACATATTACAAGCAAACCGTATTTATCGAGCCAACATAATGAACACATATTATAAAACTTATGTCATGTCAGTATTAACATGATCTTTATAAATGTGTTTTAAGTTTACATTGTTTTGTTTAAAAATTATCAAAATATTAGCATTGTCACGTATAAGATGTTTCTGTATATGAGCATAAGTTTGCGTCAAATAAAAAAAATTATAAAATTATGTCTACCCATTGCAAAAAAGAGCAAAAGTAAAACTTGGTATGGGTTTAAAACAAAATAAAAAAAATTAAGGAAAAAAATTGATATATACACTGTATAATATACAGTGTATATTGACTAAATGTATGTGTAATATTTAAGTATGTTTATCTATGTATTATCTGACTTACCAAAAAATAATCTATGTATTAATGTGATCAATAAATTTCCATTTATATTCTATTCTAAAATAAAGAAATATAGGAAAGTAACGAAGAATAAGAGAGTGGTAGGGATTTCTATCTCATTTAATAAAGCAGAACGTTATAGTGACGTGATATTAATGTCTTTTGGGTGAATTGGGACGAAAACGTGGTTTTCTTCGCTTTAAATTTTAATCTATTTACTATTTCTTATATAAAACTCATTGAAAACTTTTTTTAAGATAACATAATTAAATAGCTGTTTATTAAACAGTCAGATGTAGAAAATCCGAAAGTTAAACAGTGTTTCACTATCGATCTTTCTACAGTGTTTCACTATCGATCTTTCTACATCTGTCTGTTTAAATAGCTGTCTAACTGTTTAATATTTTTTGTTGTAAAATTATTTTAAAAATATTTAATAATTTAGTTTTATAGTTTAATTTAAATGCGCTTTAAAAAATAATAAAAAAAGCTTATCATTCAAAAATATTTTAATATTAGAAAAAAGTAAATATTTCAATGGCAAGAGTGCTTAAAAAAATGAAACATATATGTTTATTTATATATAATTCTATAGAATTTGGATTTGGTTCTGAACTACTTAAGAGAATAACTAAATTTAATGCCTACATAATTTTGATTTAATTATTTGTCTAAACCAACTATGGCAGATAAACTTAAAAAAATTTCATGCAAGCAAATTTATTTTACGTCAAAAAAATAATAGGTTAATGATATAATAATTAGTTTTAATATAATTCATTATTTTTTTTAAGTTATAAAATTTTATATGGTTTATTTATTTAGTTTCGAGCCTATTTTTTAACATCACTTTATTAAAGACCTAAAAATAATAATTTATTATAAAGTTGTTTTTTGTTGTAGATAACTATCGGTTTTTCTATAACTGGCTGTCTAAATAGCTGTGTATTAAACGAAAAACTGAAAGTTAAACAGTGTTTTACTATCGGTTTTTTTTATATCTGTCTGTTTAAATAGCTGTCTAACTGTCTGATTAACTGTCTAACTGTCTGTTTAACAGTCTGTCTGTTTTTTTTTTCGTTCAACTATAAATATAAAAATACATTAATTTATAGATGAATATTAAATCTAGATATAAAATTATTTAAAAATATTTAATAAAAAGTGACTTTTAGTTTTATAATTTAATTTAAATGCGCTTTTAAAAAATAATAAAAAAGCTTATAACTTAAAAAATATTATAATATTAAAAAAAGTAAATATTTTAATTGTAAGAGTTCTTAAAAACAAAAAATATATCTTATATTTATATAGAATTCTATAGAATTTGGATTTGGTTAAAAGTGTTCTAAACTACTTAATAGAAGAAATTCTAAAATTTGATGTATTTCTTTATACTAGTATATTATTAAATAATTTGATTATTTGTTTAAACCAACTATTGCAGATTAATTTAAAAAAATCTATGCAAGCAAATTTATTTTACATCAAAAAAATAATAAGTTTATAATATAATAATTATAATTAGTTTTAATATAATTTAATATTTTTTATAAATTATAATTTTTTTATAGGTTATCCATCTAGTTTAATGCTTATTTTTTAACAACACTTATTTGGGTAATTTAAATTAGACTTGAAGATAATGATAATGAAAAATTATATATGATTTAATAAAAAACATGATAACTTACAAAAATATAGGTAACTAACCTTTTTTTATTAAAATGCCAAACTTATATTAATTTTCACTTCCCCATAATTTTCCATACCTAGTTATTCTTACTTGCTTTACCATAATTAAAAAACGCGGTTTGGATAAAGTAAAGGGTATTAATATGATTATCCTTAATCTATCTATCTTGCATTTTTTCAAAAAGTTATTAGTAATATTTTTAAAATATTTAATAAATATCTTATAGTTATAAAAAATCTAAAAATAATAGATTAGGTGTTAAATATTTAATTATTTAGATTAGACTTAATTGATATTAAATTTAAAAATCATGTGGGTACCTAATTGTTTTGATGTTTTGAATAGAGGGGAAGTGGTTATTGGAGTATTTTAGAGTTTTCATCGTGCATTTGCAAATTTCATGAAACAATAAATAGATACATAACTTTTATTTACAAAAATTTGCAACATTACCTAAATTTCGGGAATTGAAAACCTTTTTTTATTTTTGATTATATATAAACCGGTATGTATGATTATATTATCTTAACAAAAGTAAATGTAAATATATGATAATTAGTTTAAATTTTAAAACTTTCAATATAAAGAAAAGAGTGAAAGATGCAGGTGTTATGTTCCTAAATTAAGTCTAGAAATGTTAAAAAAAGTATTTTTTTTAATAAAATGGGAAAACAACTTTATATGAAAAACATTGTTTTCACCTTACATCTAATTTTGTTCAACATGATAGTTTAATTTCAATTAAAATTAAGTATTAAATAATTAAAAAATGAGCATTACGTACTATTTTAAAATATAATAAATTTACGCCCATAAAATTAATGTTAGAGTAAATTAACTGTTAGATTTTATATTAATAAATAATTACGTTTAAAGGTTCCTTAATATTTGTACTGTGATGTTTGTTATTTAAACTCTGTGCATACGTATGCAAGTAGGTAAAATAAAGACTTTTATATTAAAACTTGTAACAAAAGTAGGTAGGTACCGCACAATATTAAATACTGTGGTAATTCTTATAATTTTAAGAAAATATTAAATGATTACGTCAAAAATATGTTTTTTAGTTATTATTGTAAATATCAAAAAAACTGCAAAACTGATAG